GACCTAATCTAAGACGCAATTGTGAGTTTTAATGTTATGTAAAACTCACTTTCAATTCAATAGTTACATTGAATTAGGTCTCTAATTAGGATCTTGAATTGGATCTCTATAACATTGCTTGTAAAGAAAAGAAAAAGGTAATAAAAATATCATACCATTTCCTCCAAGCACCTTTCTCATGAAAGTTAAGAAAACGATAATTAGGGCAACCCCAGCTAACAATCGCGAATGTTTTCTCACCCTTGTGAGATGAATCTGCATAATAGGAAAAAGAGATCAAAAAAAAAAATATGACATAACACAAAATAACATAACTGAATAAGAATATGACATTGAGCTGTTGGGTTCAAGTGATATTTACAAAAAAAAAACTAGATATTGAATTCCCCCTATCTCGACACCCTTTGTATTTCTTAGAATAGAACTGTTAATGGATCGTGTAAGGGTTGGGTTGGTTTCATATCCAACTTATTTATAATCGTGCATAATTGAGTCATGTCATGTATAAATTATATATAAACCGTATGTAATGAGTTAATTGTGTTAATTTTTTTTGGTAAATACGTATCTTGTTAAGTTGGTTTCATATAAACCTATTTTCTTTGATGAGTCTAAATGGATTCACCCATTTTCCATCTGAATCCACTCTTTCTTTGGCTATTTTTTATCCCATGAGTTCAATAAAAAAGATTTCTAATATGATGCAATGACAAGTACTTAGTTGTTCAAGTAAACAACTCATGTGGATTTGTTAAAATTTACACCAAATTGACTCATTTTTAACCCCAAAACACGATATATATGTACATATATATATACACACATGCATTCTCTACATATCTTTCTTCTCCTTTTGGTTAAGATCAAGCATAATATTTATTCTTATCAATTTAATATTTGATACATGCATATTGTATATGTGTGTGGATTGGAATTTTGATTTTTTGGAAAATTTTAAAGTGGAAAAATTATTACCATAATTTGGTTTGGAGTAAATGTGAGCTCCACTAGTACACTAAAATACATGCATACTAATATGCCAAAACACACACACAAAAAACTAATATACCAAAACACACACACAATAAGTCACCAAAACATGTACACTAATATACCAAAATATACACACAGGCAAATACACCAAAACACATACATTCACACACGCACACTAAATATACCAAAACACACACACACACACACACATCATTTTATTCATGTGTTATGGATCAATTTAGATTAATCAAAACGTTGTAATTGTATTATACAACATGTAGTATAAATTCCTAGTTATTTTATTATACTAGTTGATGCACACGTACATTGCACGTGAATTCTTTTGATTAATGATTTATTTTTTATTTGAAAATCAAATTATACGATGCAAATAAAATCCAAAACAAAAATCTAATCAGCCAAAACATGAATCGTCAATCAAAATTTAAAGGTCACATGTCTAAAAGGATGAAATGAGTATTAAGGTTATTATAGTCAATCAAAAATTTTTCACTTTTGTTGACATTTTATAATAATATAGATTAATAAGAATGAAACGATAGAGAATGAATTTGAGCACTATGGTTCATCAAAAGGTATAGAGGCACAACATTAATTTTAACAATCTCGTTTACATCCTTGTTAAATTTGACAAGAAGATGTATCAATTGAGTTTATATACTTAAGAAAATTATTTGCAGTTTTCTAATGAAACTAAATTTTTAACCTCAATATGGTGTAGTGTTTGGTTCATACTTTTAGAAGATAAGAAACCAAAAAAATAAATTTGTAGTAAGGCTTCTTGCTAAGAATATCCTTTCTCCTTGTTTAAGTCTTAAACTGAACAAAGAATTAAGAAATGAGATTAAAGAACTGGAATTCACTTCATTGTTTAATATACATTACTTGTTTTGGCACTAAATTAATGTACGCAACCAACACCATTAAAATACAAAAAAATTTACTTGCATCATCTGGTTCAAATGATGACAATTTGAAGGCCATAACTTGAATCATCAAAGAAAAACAATGAAATTGAACTGAACATCCTTGACGGAAAGGAAATGTTTTTTCATACATCCATTATGAAAACTTCTTCTATCTACATTTGAAAGAAACTTTTATGATGGTTTTAATAGTATACCACTTTTTTAATCCTTGTAAAAGGCATATTTAACCTATAATTTATCTAATTAAAGTCACAAAAGAAATATTGACATAAGATAATTAAACGCTACAAATATAGAATGAGAAGAAATCGAATTATATACCTTACTTTGTAGTACCATAATGCCTTCTTATAATATCCAAAGAGGACATTATAAACACGTGAGAAAATGAAAAGCCTACCTACTGGTAATCACATATTCATTACAATTTTAATTGAATAATTACTCCCAGAATGGGAAGGGCTTGAGAGTTAAAACAAATAATAGAATATGATTGTCTTTATATAACTAGAAATACAACACGTGCATTGCACGTGAAAGTTTTCGTTAAAATATTTGATAAAATACATAAAAATTTAATTATATAGTTAAATTAGATATTATCTCATATTTATCATACATAAATTGTTTGTATTGTGGATGAAGAGAAAAATATACATATATTATTTTTTGGCACCGGAGATAGTATTGCATTAATGAAGTTGTCGATGTGTAATATTGTGGTTTTGAAAAAAAATGATATTTTTATATATCCTGTTAAGTATAGAGTGATATAATAATTATATCTAATTAATTAGTTATATATACTACTAATAAAAATATCTATTACATAATTAAATACATAAGGGTGTAGGTGTCTTTAATTATATGTATAGGACAAAATAGTCAAATAAAAAAAAATTCATTTTTGTTGACATTTTATAATAGTATAGATAGATATAATATCAATATCACGTGCCTAAACATCAAATCTGACAATTCGATCTTATTTGAATCAATTGAAATCCAACATATTTACACCAAATAATGTTAACAATTGTTTTTCAACGATAATTTCAACAAAACTATATCAAATAATTAAGCAAATTTAACAATCAATCATCCCAATCTCAATAGTATTCACGAATTCAATTAATTCAAGAACACAAATGAAAAAATAGCAATAAAACACATAATTTTAGTTGTGAAAAGCACAAAGAGAGGGGGTGGGGGTGGGGGTGGGGGTGGGGGTGGAGAACCTGAATCATTAACATATTCCATTTTATACCAACACTCCATGAACGATTTTCACTACTTTCATTCATCTTAAAGTCTTTGCACAGAGAGAGAGCCAGAGAAAAACTATAAAAATTCGAGAGAGAGAATTAGTTTGGAAGAGCTAGAGAAAAATATGCTTAGATGTGTTTCCCAACAAAAGTGTGTGACAATAAATAAATAAAGTGAGTGTGAATGAAAATCAACAAATATGCTACATGTCTCTCCCAAAATAAAAATCTATTCAACGCAATTAACGGTAATGAGCCAACAAACCCATAATAAGATCGAAGTGCAGACAAACAATAAGAGACAATGCAATGCAATGCAGCAGAATCACAATAATGCACTCAAGTGCTTGCTCAAGTGTGTTTTCTTCCCTGTTTTTTGAGTAAGGAAAGATTGCAAGAGTTTTATTCCGGACTCCATAATTCTGTCATTAATGTAGTGATGACCCATGAATCTTGTTTGTTTGGATGCTTTAATTTTTGCAGAGTGCGTCAATTGAGAGATAAACGGGTCGATATAACACATGTTTGGATAAAGACTACACTTGACCTTATTGTTTGTAGTACATGAAGCATCAAATTCAAAATATATATGTGCATTTATCTATATATACATATACACGTTAGACTTATACAATTTGTATGGCCTTATTGTCACTCTTTTTTGGATTGTTTTTGGCATCACTCTTTTTTGAAGTATTTAGCTTTTGGTGTCACTCTATATTGTCACTAAATAATGTCTCTCTTTGTTGCTAATCTTTGTAGTCCCGAAATAAAGCAAAAATATTTGATCTAAAAAATGAATGACAGATCAGGAATGTTCATAAAAAATGCACAAAAACTTATTTTGTGATATAAAAAATGAATAAAAAAAATTGAACCTGATGTGTGAGAATTAAAGAAAGTGATGATTTCTTATGTTCCTTCTTTTGATGTTTTAGTAAGCTCTGTTTTTAGGCGTATTTTTACCCTTCTATGAGTGGCTTTTTCTTTGCTATAGATGCCTTGTTCTTGAAATTATTAATTACATTTACATTAAAAAAGTAAAACAGAACAATTTTTGCCCAACCATATCATTGAAATACGAAATGCAAAACTTAAAAAAAAGTATCTAGCAAAAGAAGTTCCAATATGCTTTTCCTTTCTCCAGGTAGATGAGGTAACAATTAGAATAACTTGAAAATGATTACTAGCAAGGTACTCAACAAAAGAAGGAACAACATTGGCTTTCGGAGCATGACCTATACATCACGTGTTTCTAAAGCAGGCATTTTCGAGGAGAACTCTTTTACATTAGACATCACGTGAATTTGCACTTCAACAACCAGACTATCTAGTACTACGAAGCCCTTCGATTTGTCATGCAGATCAGGAAGAGAAATTAGATTGAAACCCTAGCCTTTACGTAGGTCACAGAACCAATAATCACCTGTGATAGAATAATTACGAGGAAATTTTAGACGAAGTGAACAAATTAATTTTAAAAGGAAAATAGTGACAAACCAGTTTCCCAGTCTCTGTAAAAAAAACATATGTTAAAGATGGAGGACAAGTGTTCACCTTTCATTTTGTGGTGTTTGCCATTGACTTGGTCTTTTACCAAGACGCTAAATACCACATACAATTTTCGCTTGGTTGGAATGGATTCGCAATTATCTAACCATAGAAACACACATCAGCTTTTGCCCTTTTCACTGCCCTGTCCTTCGGGATAAACAAGTATCTTCCTAGATCAATAAAGAGAACATCATATAAGAAACAATTCCATCTAGTTATGGTACATAGAGAATAAGAATTAAGTGAGGAACTCCAAGGGCTCAAACCATTTGTACTCTCCAATGGTGAAAGGTTCGGAGAACGAACGCACTTTTATTTCTGAAAATTTTTTGATCTCCCAAGAATAACTATTGTCACAAGTTTCCTCCTTCAAAGAAAGATACTCTCCTCTGTGGGTAGATTTAATGACATAAACCTTAGCTCCAAACACACAGGAGTCATCAATAAGGTATCCGTTAGAAGCATCTTTGAAAGTTTCAAGGGAAAGTAATTTGGCAAAGCCAAACTCCGTCTTAAACCTGTGGAAACGTCTTAGTCTCCCATCAACATCTATATACATGATAGACGCCGGTTACACAAAGAAAAAATGTAAGTTATACTCTTTCTGATCACTTAAACAGACTTATTATTACTACGAGTGCAAGAATGTGCATTTTGAGAAATCTTACTTTGGAGAGTCAAGTACTTGTCTCGCATATGATCATACACAAACAATTCGAATTTAACATTAACCTCCCAACCAAAAGGTAATGTATCTGCCTCCAATATTGCCAAGTAAAGAGAGATATGCCCTTTCCCATTTTCCTTTTCATATCCATTCGGATATAGACACAATTTCCTGCAAACAAGGCAAAGCACACAAGGAGAACACTTATCTTGGATTTTAAAAAGCAAGAAGACTTCCCACAAGTGAGAAGAAAGAATTTCTATTTCAACTCACCATTTGTAGCCACCTGATTCAAAGTCACTCGATTCAAATCTTTTCTCTTCTGCCTTGGAAAGCAATGAGAACAATTTGATTTGAAATAGGTAATCACCTGGTGGAACCTCTCTCAGTGTCCTTGAAATTTCTGTAAAGACTCAAAAAGGTTCATACTTTGCTACATATCACTATTTTTATAGAAACTTAATTGCAGATAATATATTCTTAAAAAATTCTGAAAAATACAAAGAAAGAGGAAATCAGAAAAAAAAAAAAAAAAAGAAAGTATGAGATGAATTTATATCATTGGTTTCTCTTGTGCCTTGATGAATAATAAAAAATATGCCCAGATTCAAAACAAACCATTCGTACCAACATTAAATGGATCGTGGATCGATTTAGCATGTGGTACGATATTTGTTCTAATACACGATACAGTCAAGGATCAAAATTTTATTTTGATACATTGTTTCAGTCAACTAGGAAACGAAAACGTTTCGAATTTTTTTGAAAACAGAATTGAAAAAATAAAAAATTTAAGAATTTATTTTTCAAAATATTGATCGAAATATACCAAAATATCTTTAAATACTTTAAAACATTTCAAAATAATTGTGCAAATGAATTGAAATATAACAAAATATTTCGAAATATTATGGAATACCTTAAAGTATTAGAACTTCGATTTCATCACTAATTCGTTTCGATTTCCTTGAAAACGAAAATATTTCGAAACAATATTTTGATCATTGGATACAGTGGGAGTAGCCTTAGGTGGTACACTATTTTGAATCGTGGTTCGTTTTGTAACATTTATATAGAATAATATATTGGTATACACATAGTTATTAAATATTTATTTTAAAGAACACCAAAATAAAGAAATAACAAATTAGAGTTATGATTTGGAGTTGGAGTTATGACGTAGAGTACTTATATCATGAATCAATTTGCGGTTAGACTTATAATTTAACGTCAGGACTTTGAGTAATCTGAATCGTGTACCCATCTTATTTTGATTCGTGCAAACTTGATTCATTGGACGCTAGGGGTAGCTACTATCCTAGTATCTGTGGGTCAGACACCTGTAGTACAATGCTCAGATTGCAACATTTAAATCTTTTGTTTCAAACGCATAAAAAACACATAAGCACCCAAAGGGAGACACAGTGATTACCAACTGCACCATCATTGTTAGAGAAAGGATGGGCAGAGTTCTCATCCATGATTGTCGTCTTATGTTATTGAAGAACGATGTCTTCTTCTATGTAATATTTGATGTGAGTGACTGGATTGACTATGCTCGGTTCCCTGTTGAGGAATATTGAGATGCTATATATATATATATATATACTAGGTATTGTCTTCTGCAATATGAGATTAATTAGGCAATCTCACACACGAGCAAAGCACCTATGCGAAAATAAGAAAGTTAATCTCCGACCGAACAGAGTACCTGATAGGTTGACACTTTTAGTCACCCAAAAAACACCAAGGTTCTCCTGAGAAGAAGGAGTTTTTAGGTGAACTCGCCGCAAATTTGATATCACGCTCGTCGCCGGAGCATGCATGCAGAGAGATATGGGGAAACAGTGAGAATTACATCCGGGCTCTTTGAGATTTGTGAGTTAACCACTTAAACCCTTAATATAAACCTCTATCGTTAACAATAATACAAGACTGACCAAATTTTAGGATCAAATTTGGAGTCCAAATGACATGGCAGCTGATTTGGGTTTCTTTATTTGGTGTCTTGTCATTTGGGTCCCAATAAAAACTTCAAATAATATGTTATCATGTTATTTGGGTTCCAAATTTGGTCAGCATAACATTATTGCTATCGTTAATGTCCGTTAGAATATCTGTTAGTAAATTATACTTAAAACTCTTGAAATTTGTATTTATGTAATATTTAGACCCCTCAAGTTTAAAATGTTATACTTAGATAAAAAAATACTCCAATTAAAGATAAAATATCAAATATTTTAAATTTTACAACTAAAATTCTTTGTATATTATGTCATTTATTGATACAAAATTAAAAATAAAAATTAAATCATTTTAGTAGGAAATTGGATGAATATTTTTGTAATTTTTATTTTTTGAATCATTTTAACAATTCACTTAAATAATATGCACCAATTTAACAACACAATAAACTAATAACACTAAAACCTAAAACAATTATAACAACAATTACAAGAAAACATAAACCTCAATTCATCATAATTGTTAAACAGATACAATGACAATTATTTAAAGTTTAAATTATATGGTTAGGGAATTAGGGTTTTTAGTTTATCTATATATATATATACAAAAATTAATGACTATTTCGCATTCCTACCCGATTTTTACGACTAAGCGTTTAATAGGGTCGGATAAGGTAAAAAATTGCGACTAATCAAAAATTTGAACGCCCCTAATGCTATCTTGGATAATATCTTATCCTAGCATAAAGGTGAGGCCGTCTAACCATGATTGAGATAAAGTTCTTCTTCTTGTATTTATTTTTGTCAAATCTTCTTTTAAAATAAAGTTTACTTTGCCATTGGGTTGCTACTCTTGTACTTGTCAAACCTTTTTTAATCTTGTGATTGTCAATCTTACTTTGTTGCATGGAGCTACCTTTTCTTACTCCATTATGAACTCCTTGGTGGCTAAGCATTCAAAGGCTCACGACAATTGATCATAGAATATACTGAATGTTTCTCCTACACACACGCACATGCACGCGCGTGCGCACACACACACACACACACACACACACACATATATATATATAATATAGTATAATATAAAACATATCAGACTTTAACAAGCTTATCTAACAATTTCAAATAGATTCATACAACGGTCACCAACATCTCCGTCAAAATCATTTACATTGCACAATGCAGAGTCATAGTATTATAATGATGAAAGGGAGATTCTTTAATCACGGGTTAATAGCTTGTAATCCACTACACGTTCATGTCTACAATATTTAGACCGAAAAAAATAAAATAAATGTGGAGTCATAGTGATATAAGGTCCTGCAAAAATTAGTAGGATTTAACTAATGGTATGATGAACATTGCATCTAACTTGAGATAAGCACGGTGATGTTGCCTGCAATTCATGGTTGAGAAGTTGTACACAACTTGATTTGACGGACTTAGATCGATTTTCAATAGAGACAAGGGGATTCCTAAATACTATCCTTCCCAATTCAGGAAATGAAATCTAATACGTGTTATTTGTGGTCGGTTACGAATGGAAAATTGGTTACACTAAGAGTCCAAAATATGCGTGGATACAATGAAAGTTTCTCTTGTGAGTTGTAGTTGTAGTTGGGAGACTGTAAGTAGTAGTATGGTTCCATATTTGAAGCAAATGCCATTAAAGATAAAACAACACCAACCAAGACAACATCAGATACAAACATCATCCTGTCCCTTTACAGAAATAATGCGCCATTTTTTTTTTTCACATTAGACAATACAACTTTGTTAAGTGGTGGATGGAATCTTTGCTTCTTTTTTCGTTCTTTAAACTTAGCAGGAGGGAAAAAGCCATGCACCTTGACTCATCTTTCCATTTCTTCTTTGCAATCTTCTTTCGGATAGAAAATTAAAGTAATTCTTAAAGAAGGAAAAAGTTGACATCATGAATGAAAAAAGGAAGAGAAAAGAGCAATCAAAAGCAGATCAGAGGAAAGTGATGATCCAAGGCTGTTCCAGTTTTTCTTGCAAAGTGTGTTTTATTTACTTCCAAAAGGCAAAAGAAAGCTAAATAAATGGTGTAGAATATACCGATGAATTCTTGGTGTCTCACTTTGAATAGGAAATGCTTGAGAAAATGAAAAACAACTAGATGAAAGAAAAGAAAAGAAAGGAAAATGTCTAATTCGGGGACCTAATCTAGGATGCAATTGTGAGTTTTAATGTTAGGTGAAACTCACTTTCAATTCCATAGTTACATTGAATTAGGTCTCTAATTAGACTCTTGAATTGTGTCTCTATAACATTGCTTGAAAAGAAAAGAAAAAGGTAATAAAAATATCATACCATTTCCTCCAAACACCTTTCTCATGAAAGTTAAGAAAATGATAATTAGAGCAACCCCAGGTAACAATCCAATGATAATCACAAATGTTTTCTCAGCCTCGTCGTGAGATGAATCTGCATAATTGGAAAAAGGATAAAAAAAAAGAAAAAAGAAAGAAAAATATGACATTACATAACTGAATCAGAATATAACATTGAGCTGCCGGGTTCAAGTGATATTTACCAAAAAAAAACTAGATATTGAATTCCCCCTATCTCGACACCCTTTGTACTTCTTAGAATAGAACTGTTAATGGATCGTGTAGTGTTGGGTTGGTTTCATATCCAACTTATTTATAATCGTGCATAATTGAGTTCATGTCATGTATAAATTATATATAAACCGTATGTAATGAGTTCATATTGTGTTAATATTTTCTGGTAAATACGTATCTTGTTAAGTTGGTTTCATATAAACCTATTAATTAATGTTTGTGCCTGAAGGCACAGAGTAATAAAAAATGATAAACAATAAACATATTCGTATTTATATTCAAAATCAAATTACAAAAATAGAGACAAGATTAAGGAATTTAAGTATCAGCTTGTAATGGGGTGAGGTGATTGGCGATAGTGGTAGGGGTAGGAGACAGTGATGGTTGTGGTGAGTGGCAATGACTGTGGTGGGGGCGAGGGTGGCGGTGATGGTGTGCGGCGACGATGGTGGTGGTGGTGGCGACAATGGTGGTGGTGGTGGTGGCGGCAATGATGGCGGGGGTAGTTGTGGCGGTGGTGGCGGATGTGGTGGTAATGGCGGTGGTGGTGGTGGCAGAGATAGTGGTTGAGCGATTTCAAACACTAATTTTTTTTTAAAGTATTTATGAGAAATAATTTTTTGAAATACTTTTAAAAAATCATTTTAAACACACCATTAAAAGCTTATTTTTCCTATGAGATTTAGAGTGTTAATATTAGTTGTTAAATTAACTTTAAAGTAAAATTTAAAGCGATCTCAACCACGAATAGCAAAAGTCATGTTGTTTATCTTTTGAGATTTGAATTGTAAGCTATTTTATTATATAAACCTATTTTCGTTGACGAGTCTAAATGGATTCACCCATTTTCCATCTGAATCCACTCTTTCTTTGGCTATTTTTTATCCCATGAGTTCAATAAAAAAGATTTCTAACATGATGCAATGACAAGTACTTAGTTGTTCAAGTAAACAACTCGTGTAGATTTGAATAATTAAAACTTTAAATTTGTTAAAATTTACACCAAATTGACTCATTTTTAACCCCAAAACACGATATATACACACATGCATTCTCTATATATCTTTCTTCTCCTTTTGGTTAAGATCAAGTACAATATTTATTCTTATCAATTTAATATTTGATACATGCATATTGTATATGTGTGTGGAATGGAATTTTGATTTTTTTGAAAATTTTAAAGTGGAAGAATTATTACCATGATTTGTTTTGGTGTAAATGTGAGCTCCACTAGTACACTAAAATACATGCATGCTAATATGCCAAAACACACACACACACACAAAACTAATATACCAAAACACACACACTAAGGTAGTGTTTGGTAACATAGAGTTTGTGTTTTTTTTGTTTTTGTTTTCATTTTTTGCTAAAAAAAAAAAAGGCCATAATGCGTTGGGGAAGTGTTTTCATTTTTTTTACTACCCTATTTTGAAAACAATGCCAAAATATGAAAACATCAACAAAAAAAAAAAAAAAAAAGGCCATGCGCGTGCCTCACTATTTACAATTAATGAGGTTCAGTCTTCGAATTTCATTAGCAACAAAATAAGGGTTTTTTTGTGCCAACTACAAAAATCTCTTTTTCCTTTATTATTTCGTCTCTTTCTCTCTTATGTCTCTCTCTCTCTCTCCTGAAAGTCAATGACGATGATGAAGATGAAGAAGCCGAAGACAAAATCAAACATGAAATCGAAGACGAAGACGAAAAGGAAACCTACATTGTCTCTCTCGCTTGTTTCCCCTTTTTTCCTTAACTTTATGACATATATATACATAGATTTGTGTATATATATACATATAATATATATATATATAGATCTGTGTATATATATACATATATTTGTATATATGTGCATATATAGGCATAGATCTATATATATGATGTTATATATACATAAATCTACATGTGTGTGTTTATTT